CCTCCCCAAAGCTGTAGAACTCGGCTATGGATAACTGCAGATGTCGTATCCGAACCCCAAAATTCATAAAGCCCTTTCAAAATGGGAACTACATGCAAAATCTTGCTCTATCACCTTCCTAAAGTGAATCAAGAGGCAGATCAGTCGCGACCTTTCAAATGGTGCCAAAAGCTTCGAAAACCGTCAAAATCCCAAGTGGATTTCGACGACGACGAGGTTAAAGTATGGGGGATAGATGTGTCTTTTTTTGTACTAAAAGTATTGATTTTTTGTAATTTACCTCCAGCCTTAGGACCAAATAATCGTGGGAGATCAAGATTCAACCTACTTTCACTGTGGACCAAGAGATCTGGAGAGCCCTAGTTGGTGCTAACAAGGGTTTTAGGGTGGATAAATGGGGTAATCTTATCAAATTCACCCTAACAAATATGTCCTAATAGTAAAAGGGTGTAGGTTGTAAATAATTCTTTTCTTCGAAAATATTTATTGTAGTACCCAAAGTTTAAATACTTTTTACATTCCTAGTAAGGTTCAAACTTCAAACATAATATACATTCCTTGTAAGGTTCAAACTTCAAAATTAATAAAGTCTGGTCTTAACGTTCAAAGAATTAACTTGTTTTGGTTTAAATCAGTAAAATTATTGGACGCCACAATCGGATGCACTGGTTTCCACTAGCAGATTTCTACAAATCCCGTTTTATATAATTTGCGAATGCGCTAAACCTAAGTGGTAGACTCACACGCTTCAGTATCCTATGTGGCAGATTTTCATGGTTTGTTATTTGGCTTGGATAGATTTTAATTTACTTTTCATCCAATAATAACTAGGCTTAGAATATCCATACATATAATGTATATGGGGCATAATTTTTTTTTTCTCCAATTTTTCTATTTTCTTCATTCTTTTAGAATTATACAAAATTACTAACATAAATTATAAATATTTAAAAGATAATAACTTTTTTATTTATTATTAATTTTTTATATATAATATATCAAATCAATCATGTTTTGATGGTATTCAATATGACATCTGTGTTGTACATAAAAATAAATAAATAACTATATTTATATTTATAATAAAAATTAAATTATATATTGATATTAATTGGATAAAATTTATTTAAATCGATTTAATTCAAAATTAGTTATATGTATAAGTTAAAAAATAATTATAATATAAGATGTTTAGCCGTATAAGTGACGAGTGTCATTTTAAATATAAATAAAATATTATTTTTTAAAACATATTTAAAAATTAAAACTTTTTTTTTTTATTTTACGTGTAATACACAAATATTGTAGTAGTTACACATTACTAATATTCGTCCATGTGCACATGCACAGAGACAAATAAAAATTTATATATTATATGTATATATACAATATTTAAAATTTTAAATTAGATAATGGATGTATTACATTTTAAAATTGTTTACTATATACAAATGTACAATATAAATATAAATTATTTAACTGGCATATAAATCTTTATATTGATGACATAAATTTTAATGAACAATGTAATTTTGTAATTTAGGGGGACCATATGATTAATTAATTAAAAATATTACAATTATTTTTAGTGTTGTTATAGTAATTACTTATGTAATTTTAAAGAGTTTAATTATAACACTCATGTCATTTAACTAATATTAGAGAAAAATCGCTTAATAAGATGAAAAATAATATTTATTATAGAATAAGTATATTAATAAAAAAATTACAATACAATTTTTTATAAGTATGCTTTTACATACTATTTAATGTAAATTTAGAATTAGCTAATATTAGTAGTAATTACTAATTATTACATATTAAATTAGTATAAATTATTATTACACTTTATTAATGTATAATGTAACAGTTCCACATTAATTGAAAAATACAAAAGTTTTTGGACGGGAAAAAGAAAAGAGATTCTATTAAATGTTTTATTTATGTATTAGCCAGTAATTTTATATATATATACTATATATATAAATAGATTTTGGAACTCTCAAATCGATAGATCCAACATAACCTCCAAGCCTTATCAAGATTGTCTTTAAGGTTTTAAAAAATTTCCAGCCAAAATGCGTTTTTAAGTTCAACAAATCTATACTTATATTAAAAGGTATCCCATTTACCAGATTTAGTATAAAGAAAAGTAAAAAATAATTAATGTTTGCTGGAAATAGAATGACATTAATTACAGATTTATTTTGGTATTTATAGCTTGACATTAAAGATTTGTTATGGAATAAAATCAAAACCGATTTTTTTACCTTTGCTGGAAAAGTCCAATATAAGTATAGATTTTCTTTTATTCCATAACATCGGTTTAGTTAAAATAATCTCATAAAATCGATTTTAATGTTAAGCCTATAAATAAAGATTTAATCAGTTTTAATAAAGCAGATTTAATCCGTTTTAATAATTGCATAGAATTTCAAAGCTGTTATTTATTGTAAAAAAATTAAATTCTAAAAAACCATTTGTGTATATTTTGTAAAATGTTTGTACAAAATGTTTTACTTTAAATTTATTTACATAATTTAAATTAATTACATTAATAAATAATATGAACATACATTAAATATTTTAATTACATAAAACAAAAAGAAGAAGATTACATCTATAACTTATAATAATAATGACATTATACTACAATAAATTTTATAAGGAAATAATATAAGTATTATACAAGGAACAAGATTACGTAAAATTGTTATTTTTTTATATCAATGAATAAATATATATAATGAAATCAAATTTGTATTATTATAAACATGTGAACGAGATAATATATTAATTAATTTACAGGCTAGCGCTACCAGACTCAAGTTTAATGTTCCGATAAAAAAAATGACGTTGATGAAAAGATGTAAAAAGATAGATGATAAAACTCTATTATTTTTTAGGCCTGAACGGACAAGCCCTATGGTCCACTCATTTAATATCTCCTGTGAATCGCACGTACTACTTAACGGACAAGTTCTGTGTAAATAGCTCATTAATATTTATGTCCCGTGCATCGCACGGGCTACGTGCTAGTTCTACTGAAGACCCCGCCAATTTGATATTTATAGAAAATAATATATATAGTTATTTTTTTGAAAAAAATCATTGTTGTCTGAAATTATCAACAACGGATAATATTACATGTTTGTATTCTCCACTTTTTTAAGTATTTAGTACATTTTCAGTTTATGTTTGTATTTTGTGTTTTAGGCTATTTTTAGACTACCTTAACGCAGACTTCTCTCTATATTCTTGATTGATTCCGTTGTTTCTAGTTCTTCTAGATTTTAATTATTTACATTATTATTAAAATCGATTGTTTTGAAAAAGAAAACAACTTTTCTCTCTTATCTCGCCCCTCTCTTCTCTCGTCGCGAAACCCTAACCCATATCATTTCTCGCCCGATCTTCTCAGTATCTCAGCCGCTGAGTGCCTTCACCGGCGGGTAGCTGAACCCTTTGCCGGCGGATGGCCCGTAGCTGCGCGGCCACGCTTCAATTGGGCTTCCTTCCAGGTTTTCTCGGCTTAGACGGTGGGTTCTTGGCGCACTTTGGTTGGCTCCGCGCCGGTACAGTGGTCGACGGCGAGTTCGACGGCTTCTCTGTCTTTTTCGGTCCGATTCTCGGCTTAAGAACAATGATTGAGATAACAGATCATATATTTTCGAACTCACTTCTTCTGGTGTATACTTGTATTTTGACTAAAAATGTAAGACTGGCTAAGTGACTTCGTAAGAATTGGAACCTAAAGTTTCAACTCTTTTTCCAGTTACTACAGTGGAGAATAGTAGCACTAGCAGGTGCTTCGGAAAGAGCTGAATCATAACCCGATTTGAACTGACGAATGGAAGCGCGGTCAAAGCGGATAGTGGGCACTTTGGTGATAGGATTCCTGCTCCATTTCATTTAATCTAAACATTTCGAGCATCGGGACTTTATTTTTCCTCCTCGGAAGGTTTGTTTCAGCTACTCTTTACTTTCCGAATTATGATTTGTTGTGGCTTTCTTTTCTAAAGATTTATCGTCTTAAGGATTGGAGTTTCATGCTAATGTATTTTAATTTGGGAGTTTTATATCATTTTCTTGTATGTTTAGTGCTGTTGTATTATGCCAGTTTAGTGACACAAACCGGAAGGTCCTACACGTGCTGAAGCTCATTTTAGTTTCAATATTTGGATTTACACTACTGTTGGATAAATTTAACCTTTGCGCTGGATGTTTTATTGTTTTAAATTCCAGAAAATGTGCATAATTATCTGTCTTTTTGACACAAGAGCTGGAGAAATTTCTTTTACGATTGAGCATTAACCTGTATTTCGGCCCTTAGTTCTTTCCTTGGTGACCAGACCATAAAACTACAATCTGACATTGTAGGGTCATGAGTAACTGGGTTTTTGGGTATCCGTATGTATGATAAATGCTCGATATTATTAATACCATAATATTAAGAGATGTAAGCTTAGAGATTAACTCTAACAATTATTATTCGATAAAAGAAAGCGCATGAGATTAATCCCATAAGTCCCTCATGACGTTTCTGTCTACCACTTTCCACCCCTTGGTGCCACGTCAGCAGATGGAATTGTGACATCCTGTAAAAGCTGCATCAGCTCATCATTATTCTTCACAGCCTGTTTTAAGTGTCCAGGATGGATCCTTTTTTTATTTTCTTTGACCGACTCATCCCCCGCCGCCTTCAAAACCTGGATCAGGGAAAAGAGAAAAAAAAAAATCTTAAAATTACAAAATTATTTAAATGAGATTAATGTAAAAGTTCTTGTCGACTTGATGCGGAAGGTGACCTCGGAAGCAAGGCACTCGAGAACAGCTGTTAGGTGAACGGCAGCAGCAGTGTAGATTCGATTGGCATACTTTCCTTTCTTGAGATCTTTGTTGACTTTATCAACTGGGAATGTAAGACCGGCCTCTGCTATGCGAGATTTGGATTTAGCGGCTTTAGAATTCCCTTTTCTGCTTGAGGATTCACCGGTGGAGCTCATTTTTATTTATTTGTTATTCTTTTTTCCTAATAAAAACCTAGAAATGTGAAGGACTTGAAGTTGGTGAGAATATTTATGCTGAGCTATGAAATATTAGATTGACGAATTATATAGAAAAATTTTGTGGCCAGATATGGGGCGTGGGGGGTGTTGTTGTGATCCTGCATGGATTCCTCACATGGCGGTAAAGAAAAGATTTGAATTTTGTATTTCGTGAATGGTTTTTGCGCGTGCCAAATTTTGGGGTGAAAATGTTTGGCAGGTTGCACTAGAAATCGTATTTGGGTTGGCAAAAAAAAAAAAAAAAAAAAAAAAA